GGGGGGCGGGCGCCCCAGCCAGTGATCGCTCCCTGTCGGGCTGCGCCGCGCCCGGCGCCCTAAGCTCCTGCTCCTCCGCAGCGCAGCTTTCCAAGGGAGCAGCTCGATACAAACCTCCGGCGGGCCGGGGGTTGAAGTGGGGCAGACCCATCTGCGGTGTTTGCATACCGGCCCCTGGGGCAGATGCGGGTGTTTCCCATTCCCGGGACCGGCATGCGGTCGGTCTCAGGCCCCTTCCCACGTCTGGGATCTGACTGGCCAGGGCGGCGCTTCCCTGCCGAGTAAGGGGCACTCGCTTGCTAACGGGGCTGGATGCAGGGCGGGCCGGGGGTTGAAGTGGGGCAGACCCATCTGCGGTGTTTGCATACCGGCCCCTGGGGCAGATGCGGGTGTTTCCCATTCCCGGGACCGGCATGCGGTCGGTCTCAGGCCCCTTCCCACGTCTGGGATCTGACTGGCCAGGGCGGCGCTTCCCTGCCGAGTAAGGGGCACTCGCTTGCTAACGGGGCTGGATGCAGGGAAATGTTTTAGATGCAGCCGCTTGTAAAGCGCGCTATGTCAAGGTCTGGCTTTAGCGTCTAAAGAATCTCTGATCCGCTTCAGTGTCTGCTTAAAGCTGCCTGGCTCATGCTATAAAGCAGGAGCTGGGAATCTATGGTCTGGGGACGGACATGGCCCCTAGCTTGCCATGGCCAGGCCTGGCTTTAGGGTCTAAAACAGGGGCGAGGAACCTTTTTGGGGTCGGGGGCAACTGACCCATACAAAAAACAATCAGGAGCTGCACATAAGTGAGAAGCAAAAAAAAACAAACAAAAAACCAAACCCTCACTGACCTGGCCTCCAACTGAAAAGGAGAAAGACACTCCACACCTTCTCCTCACACCCCAATTCTAGTGGGGCCCAACCTAATAGATTTTGAGTGTTCCAGCCTTGTGGTTGTTCAGCGGGGTGGGGGCTGGGGTGCCAGTGCTGGCTCCCCAAAGCTGGGAGGGCCCTGAGCTTTGGGGGCTGGATCTAGGCAAGTCAGGAGTTGCATTTGGCCCCTGTGCCTGGAGTTCCCACCCCTGGTCTAAAAGATTCCCTGACCCTCTTCTGTGTCTGCTTACAGCTGACTGGCTTCTACTCTACACATTCCTTTGTTTATGGAGGGAAATTGATGGATCAAATGGGAGGTGTGGGGGCCAAACTGACTGCACATGGTGGGGGGGGGGCTGGCTGCACAACCAGGAGAGGGGTTAAGAATCAGATTCAGCCCTATCAGGATAAAAGATACTGCAGTGCGGGAGGGGACATCTACAGTGTTTGCAAAAATAGCAGGGAAGGGACAGAGGGTTTTTTCCCCACTGCCAGGATGGGGTGTCACAGGGCTGTGTTGGTGGCCGGTGCCTGGAGAAGGCACTGCCAAAGGGGATTAGATTCAGTGGCTGGGGGCTGCCTGCGTGAACTTCTGTTTTGCTTCCTGTCCAGGACCCTAGTCAGGGTGAGTAGCACCTGAGTTAAAGGGACAGGGCTGGACTTAAGCCCTGCTGCAGGTGTCCTGACTTTTTCTTAAAAACAGGCAAATTGTCCTATATTTTCTGTCTCCATCTGTCAGTGCTGGTGAGTCTTGCTGCTGCAAGGTCCCTGCTTACCAGCCACCTGCCCACCAGCAGGAAGTGGGGGGTCCAGTGGCTGCAGCTGGTTCATCTGTGCAGCCTCTGTTGTATGTCAGTGTAAACCAGCAGCTCCCCCCTCCCCCCCATCCCGTTTCCATCTGGCACTGATTGCACTACTAGCAGCAATGGCTGGGCCATGTTAGCAGTTGCCAGGTGGCAGCCAGTGACCTGTTCCCTCTGCTGCCCCCATCGGTCCTTTCCATTCTCTCCCTTTTTCTGCTCTCTTCCTGCTCTGCTCCTTCATGGCCCGTAGCCTCCTGCTCCTCCATATCTCCCTGCGGAGCATAGCCCTGCCCATGTGCTGCCTCAGGGAGATGTGATTCCAGATCCTAGTAGAGGGGAGTGTGTCCTGGGGGCTCAGTCAGGCAAGCAGAGAGGTGAGCACCAGCCAGGGAGGAGCAGGTCTATCAGACACCTCACCCATGTGAGAGAGCTTTACGCGGTGGGGGAGGGATGTTCACCACTGACCATGTGATCCGTGTGCACGAAGCATTGCGCGAAAAGCCAGAAGTCCCTGATGATGTTCTGTGCTGGCAGTTTCCACATCCCATAGTCCTAGGGTAGCATTCCTGTCTGTGCTGCAGTTTTCCAGTCTACATTTTTGTACTTGCATTTCCTGCAGAACTTTATTCTTTCAGATCCCCTGATATCAAGGTGACAGATTTCCTGGGTTGGCATCAGAGCTTTTGCACCTAAACCTGTATTCAGACAGGTGAATCTGCAGCTTTTTTAGCAAAATCACTGGACACTCAGAACTGAATACCATTGTTACAAGCACAGTAATGTTGAAACTGAAGCCAGGTATTAAGAGAAATGAATGTGGATTTTGGATCTTAACTTTTATGCATTGTTTATGGACTACCTAGACTAAAGCATTTGCCCAAAATATGTGTCTCCAGGGACAGAGTCTGGGCAGAATGAGGGTGTGGAAAGGATTAAAGCCCCTTCTGAAAGGTCTCCATTTGCCCTTCTCCCCTTGACAGGCTACAGAACATCCATATCTTGCTCCAGCTCAGCCCACGGCCTGAAGAACCAGGGAAAGGAAGTGTCTGTAGCGGAACCGGTGAGCTTCAAGGAGGTGGCCGTGTTTTTCTCTGAGGAGGAATGGGCTCACTGGGACCCAGCTCAGAGAGTCCTCTGCCAAGATGTGATGCAGGAGAATGATGAGGCTGTGAGCTGGCTGGGTAAGGATTCCTGTCCCCTTGAATATAAGAAGCTGGGTGGGTGCTGGAGCAGCTGGGTTGGGTTTGGTTCAGTTTAGGGTCCCTCATTGCCCCTGCCCCCCAATGTCAGGAGTATCAGCCCCAGTAATCCTGGCTCCTGTGTGAGAGACTGTCCCCTCCATGCCCCCTTCCAGGGACAGCGGGTTCATGGACATAACAGTGGTGCTGCTCTTCCTACAGCCAAGGTCTCCATGTGCTTTCCCACTATCTTGCCCATGTTGTGCCTTGGCCGGAGGTGTCAGTGGAAGGGCCAGGCAGGAATGGCAGATACCAGAGTTGTGGGACTGGTGTGGCTGCTGCTAGTAGCTGCAGGGTACCCCCTGACAGGTTCTGAGGCAGCCAGCCAAGGATCCACTTAGATGCTCAGGCAGCTTCCTCTGCCACCTTCTGATTCAAGGAGACCTTGAGCCAAAGAGCAGGGTGATCCAAGCCAGGAGCTTTGTGGACAGAACCCTAGGAGAGCTAGAGCTCTGCTGGGTCCTTTCTTTCAAGTCCTAGTGACCTGCCACATGGCAGCTGCAATCTGAGCCCTGCCTGGGGGCCTTGGTGTCAGACCTGCCAGCCCTCACTGGAGCTCCCCTTCTGAGCAGTGTGTTCCTGTCCTGCCCTGGAATGGAACAGGCCATGAAGAAAGTCTTAGTTGTACCTTAGAGAATGCAGCAGAGGGCTCTGCTCCCCTGGGGAATCAGCTGGGCCATTCCTGAGGCAGCGGGGGATGCATCTTTACTGCAGCTGAGTGTGTCCTGGGATCCTATACCTGTTGAATTTCCTGTGCTCCTTCTTCCAAGCAAACAGGCCATTTTATTGTCCATGCACGTTTACAGCATTCTGAGTGGCAAAGATTTGGCGGCAGTTGCATTCCTTTATCCGTTTTGATATGTAAATTTACATGACTATAACTACTTTCCATAAACCTGTCTTTAGTAAGGTTAACTTCCATACAATGAACATTATAAGCAGGTGATGAATACAATTATACCCACCCCTGTTTGTTGTTTACTGGTCTTAATTGGCAGCTTACAGAGAGGGGAAAAGAACACTAGGCCCTGATAATAAGTTTTACAGCAAGTGAGAACAGGCAGGGCTACAATGAGAAGCCATTAACAATGGGTGGATTTATCAAGTTGCAGTTTAGTATAACACTGCCCCATCTATCTCATCATCAGTGGAGAAGGAGAAAACTGGCCTCACTTATCTTTTCTACAAGCAGCAAGGAGGGAGAAAGCAGGTCTCATGCAAGAGGAAAACAGACCTATAATTTAACTAGGAAAATTTGCACACCTGGCCAGACCCTTGCCAACCTCACAGGCCTTCCCAGACTCCTATGAACTCTCTCATGCAAGAGGAAAACAGACCTATAATTTAACTAGGAAAATTTGCACACCTGGCCAGACCCTTGCCAACCTCACAGGCCCAAAGAGACTCCTATGAACTCTGAAATATCCCAACACTCCCCCACTCTCTTTCAAAGACGGTCCAGGTGCCCCTCCTTCCCCCACACTGACCCGCAGGGCATTCAGGCCAGAGGCCCTGGCTCTAATTACCCAATGCCTTGATGCACTGATCATGCTATGGGGTGGTAGGAAAAGTAGGTCACATGTGGAGTGGGTAGCTGACCTGCAAGTATGGCTTCTGGGCAGCCTGCCAGTTGTCAGACGCTGCCACCAGTGTGGTGCTCTGGCATCCATTCTGCTCCCTTCAATGTTGATAACTGTTCAACTTCGTATGGTGTGTGTGCTCTTTCCAAATGCTGTGCAGGTAGCCTAAACCGCAGACTTCTAAGAGCCCCCAATGACCACAAATCAGACAAGGTGAAAAGGCATTGGAACCAGGTTTATTGTCAAACAACTTATGGTCTCTAGCACCGTGGGCGTCTAGACCAGACGTCAACAGTTTACACTAGTACATACGCAAGCCCTGGCAACAGTCTTAACTCAGCGGCCAGGAGTTTCCACTATCCCCTAGACTGGGCAAGACAGCCCCTCTGAGATACGCTTTTATACACAGACACAAGTTATACATCATGTCTTACATATCAAGGTGCCACTCTTAAATGTATTTGGTTGACACTCCCTGACGTACCTAGATACCTCCCATTACCTTGTTTCTGATGATTTGAGCAAAACATTACTCTTCATCATGCTGTCATCCCGACCCTGTACTGAACCTGGGTCAGTATATCCCTGTTATCGATGGGGAGCGTACTGGTACCGAGCTGTTTCTGCAGCGAGATGTTCTGTTACCATCCTCCTGGAATGTTTACGTACCTGTCCTGTGCCTAGTACCTCCTAGGTATTTGTGTTTCTGTAATACCAGCAGCCCTGCCCTTGCCAAGTGTCTGTGAACAGGACCTGTCTTTTGCTCACAGCTTAGCTCTGCTTTATGGTAGCAAAACACTGACTGTTGCTCAGGCCTCCATTGTCAGGCCCTCTGATTACTACACCACTAATCAATGGTACAGTCAGCAGAACAAAATCCCAATAGCGTGGATAATCTGACTGAGAAGCGAATGAGTGTCCATGAGACCTGTCCTAAGGGCATAGTCTATATTAGTCCAAGCACAATCTGCAGGCAGGTCAGTTGCCAGTTGGAATGCATTCGTTCCTTGGATGGCCCAGGCTTTCAGGATCCACGTTTGGCATTGCTCAGCCTGGAGCTGCTTTAACAGGTGTATCAAAGTGTTCCAATTTATCCAGGTAGGTTCAGATACTGCCTTAGTCCAATCAGTGGGCACCATCAGATCTCTGATCAAGTTAAGCTGCTGTACAACTGGAATATGAATTTAGTAGATGGAGTTCCCTAGCTGCAAGGAAAAATGGCCAAACCAGGTCCCATCCTTCCCAAGCATTGTCATCCCCCCCGCCCCCAAAACCTGCCCATTGAGCATTGCTGTTCCCTCCAAACAAATTCTATTTCCCAGTTACACCCAGTGCTGAGAGACTAGCTCTGCACATTGCAGGGATGGTGTTTCTTGAGGCCCTTCCCTCCAGGTATTCTCAGGTTAACCCAAGGTGTGGACAGTATATCTCTGACCCTTCTAAAACCAAGTATAATTTCCCCCAACCTTAACTTGCCATACTGGCTCTTGGGACCATTTCCATGTGCACCTGCCCCCAAACCCAGACTGTAAGAGGGTGGCTGGGGTCCAGTTCCACCTTAGCAACTTCCTTGGTGGTGAGGATACATTGGGCTAGTGTGCATTTCCCCAGGGTTATGTGCCAAGTGGCCCTAAAAGCCCAGCAGTCCTTTAATTGGTTGGCTATATCGGTTCTTTCCAATACCATAGGCCCTAGCAGCTATCCTGCAGGAGGGTTACAAGGTGGGCAGTAAGAGTTTGTTACATTTGACCATAGTCTTCACACTACCTGCTAGATTAGTCATGAGAGACTCAGTGCTGTGTCCCAGAGTTAAAATGATGTCCCCTAACAGGTGATTGGTGGAACTAAGGGCAGATCCCTGTAACAGTGCCCCCTGTCCAATAATCCCAGGTGTGTATTTTCAGGCAGAATGGCTCTTGCACAAGAGGGGGTTTTTGCGCAAGGAGGAGCAGTGTAGAATGCTCCTTCTTGCACAAAAACCCCTTGCACAAATATGGCAGCTCATTAAGTATGCAAATGAGGTGCAGCAATATTAATTGCCATGCCTCATTTGCATATGTTCTTGCGCAAAACTGGGCAATGTAGACGTAGCCTACGTGTTTTATTAGTCTTTAAGGTGCTACTAGTCTATTTGTTGTTTTTTTAATTTTTCCTGTTACAGACTAAGGGGTTTTTTTCTGAAGAAGATATGCAAATTGTGCTCGCATTTGCATATCTTCTTCTGGTTTTTTTTTCCTCCCAAATGTCAGAAAATCCTCATTTGGCCTATCTACATGGGGCCAAATGTCGGGAAAAAACCCTCTTTCAAAAGCCCCTGTAAACCTCATTTTATGTGGAATTTGCATACCTTCTTCGACACCTCCTCCCCCTCCCCAGCGTAGCCATACCCTAACTTGGCTACCTCTCTGAAGCTAGTGAATAGATTGTTCAAGTTACAAGAGGCTGATAAGAACAATTAGTACCTCCATTGTTTGGTTGGTTAACTCTTAAGTCAGCCAGGTCCTGAACCTAGGCTGGTATGTACTTTATTTATGGGGAGGTGATTGGTATCAAGATGTTTCTCAGCAAGGCATTCTGTTACAGCCCCTTTGGTATGTGCTTGCAGCCTGTGATTGGTACCTGTGCCTGGTACTTTTTGGTGTTCTTTATGCTTGACTTGGCTTATACTATTTCTCTTTAGCCAAGCCCCTTTCCTGCTTGCAGTTTCACTAAGCCAAAGTCTTGCTCACTAGATTTCAAGCCTGCTTTTTTTATGTTACAGGACGTTATTCAGGCCTGCTGATTTTATGTTACTGACCCTCAACTTACTACAATTTACACTACAATTTTGTATATACACAAATATACATACACAGGCGCACACACACATACACGCATCAGATTGTCTCCTTGTCTGGATTATTTGCAGACATTTATTTGGGAAAGGGCCCATTTTCCCATCAGAGTGGCTTCCAAGAATTCTTTTAATTCTTTTCCTATAACAGTTTACCCTAATAGCATTTACACAACATTCAGATGCTCAATTCCTCCCCAGACTCTGCAGAGTTAACTTCTCACTCATTCTTTTTCCTTAAATCACTTGCTTTATCTCCCAGAATGACACTTCCAATAGCTCCCACTATCACGGTACCAAGTTCCCACCATTCACAGGAATCTGAATTCCCTATTCCTGTACTCTTTTCCTTACCTGTCCCAGCACCTGTTTTTACAGTTCATCTGTTGTGTGCCAGCATATCTGGGCCTGATCTTTTTTCTTTTGCTGAATGGTCCCCTTCTGTGGACACAGGCTTCTTTCACTACCAATTTAGCAAGGAAAGGATCCTTTCAACTAACTAGCCCCACATCTTCTGGTCTTTTTTAAAA